CCTGAGAAGGAGACAAGAGCTCGCAAGATTAAGAATTCTTAACAGCTGCTGGGAAGTTCTTGCAATCTCTCTAACATTTTCAACCCCACCACACATAACTAAGCTTCTCCAAAGTGGGACTTGCCTCTTCTTTAAGTTAGTTAAACAACAACAAAGAGACACAAAAACAGCAGTACTTTTATACAGACATGCAGAACACACTAAAAGTTAACACCAGAGCATGTCAGCATTAAAATTACCAAAGCAATGCCTTTTGTCCCTGATTTTGGAATTTCCCCTCTCTAGAATTTCAGTATACTCTCAGTGGACTATTTAAAAAACAAACAAAACAACAACAACAGAAAAACAAACAAAAAACGAGCTGAGGTCCTTTCTAGTTTCCTCTACCTCCCTTTGTCTGAAGGAATCTTCTATGAAGATAAACCAGAGGCATGCTTCCCACGGGGAAAAATGGGCCTTTGACATTTATTCAGAATAGTTCTGAGACAGTCTCTAATTTTTTAAAATCAATTTCCATCTTATTGGAATGAATTTGTTTCTATGCTTTTCCTTAGAAGCTTCTAATTTTCAAATCAAGATATGCTTCCCATATACTCATTCAGTTTAATTTCAGAGCCAGCATTTTCTAATTTCTGCATGCAAACTATTAGCATAGGTACCCCAAACAAACTTCATTTTTGGCCACTTCCCAGTTAATATTTTCAAGCGAATCATTTCTGTAAAGTACTTGCAAGTAAAGGCTTCCTATCAGGAGTATTAAAAGAAGGTTGGGGTTTGGGGAGCTTCTGGCCTTGAAGGAACAATTTTCCATGTTAAGTATTTTTTTTTTTTAATTTTGGATATCTGTAGTCTGAGCAAACTTTCTAGACATGTTATGTAGTGGGTCAAATGTGGCCTCAGTTTTCTCTCCCGGCTGTCTAACACCACAGGAAAGGTTTGGGGCCCAGGCAGACCAAGCCTTATGGTGGCCCCCTAGATGAGCTGTTTAGTTAACAATTGCATTGGGACTTCCCAATGGGGCTCCTGCATTTCTGACACCTCCACAAAATTCTTAGTCACCTAAGAACACCCCAGAATTGGACTATTCTAAAAAAATGTTACCCCTTTATCTTCGGAGCTGAATGAGTTCAGCTCATCTATACGGAGAATATTATTTTTGCTCAGACTCTCAGCAATTTCGATTGACAAGCCAAAATCAAAACCAGCCACCCATTTTTTCCTCCAGTCCTGTCTGTCAATCCTTAACCAGGGGTTCTGTCAACCCCAGTTCCACCTCAAGGATTCTAAAACACAGCTCAAATAAAGTCAGACCCTCTCCCAAAGCAAAGGGAAGGTCCTGGATCCAAGAGACAACTCACCCAAGTTCTTCCAATGGGTGGAGAACCAGAGCTCAGTGGGCCCTTTGCTGGATCCTAGCACCAAGTCCAACTCCAATTCCAAGGGATGGTCCTGGGTGAGCCTCTTTGAAATCCTGCTGCAACTATGCCAAGTAATGTTAATGTAAAAAATAAAAAACACATTGAAACCAGTGTAAAGAATTTTTGTGAGTTTATTTGAGCCAAACTGTCAACCTATGCCAGGAAGAAGACCCTCAACGAAATGAGATAATGCTCCCAGTGAGGATAAATCTTGATCATTGTGTGTGAGTCACTGCAGGCGCTGCCCTTGAGGAAGAGCTGTTCTCAGCAGGGTCTGGCATCCCCTTGCAGTGTGCCTCTTATGTGGCTGTTAGATTGAGCTCTGGTGTGTTCTGATGATACCATTGGTTGTGTTGGTTCTGGGTCTGTTTGGGAAAGACTCAGGTACAGGTTGATTTCACACATTGTGTTTAACTGGCCTTGGGTTACCTGTCTGGGGCTACATAGCTTTACGCTATGTAGTTTGTGGCTGCAGCTATTTGGCCTTGGTGTGTGTAGGAAGGGCCAGTCTGTGTCAGACAGTCAGCTTCCTCCAGCTTAAGTGTGGGGACAGTTCTATAAAAGATCCTAGGATCTCCGATGTTGCCTGGTCTTCCTTTAGAGCCTTCTGAAGGAAGACGTAGAGTGAGCTGTGGCTGGTCTCAATGCACAGACACTTGCACAGTTCATGATCTTAGTAGGGCCAGATGACTGGAGTAGAGAGAAAGGGCTAAGGGATCTCCTACTAGAGCATTGCAGAGTTAAGCATTCAATGAAGGGAAAATGGCTCCTATTCCAAAGCCAAATTACTCAGTCTTAGCCAGAGTCTCTAACTCTAGCTCCCCCAGGAGCCATAGGTTTGGATTGGGCTCAGCCAGACATTTGCTCTGTGGGAGCAAGCTCAGCAGAGCAGAGCCACCCTGTCTAGGGAGGACAAATTTTTTAAAATCTCCAGTTGGGGGTGGTGCTGGCCAATCCTGCAGGAGGAGGCCAATCACTCTGTTCTAGTCCCAGACAGCCTTTGAGGGACACACACTCTAAATGCCCCGCTCCAAGGAGCATGCCCTTCGCCCTGTATAACTGAGCTCAGCAGGGAATGGCCACTGGGACTTGGGAGGACAGAACCAAAGAATCTCTTTTTTGGGCTAGTGCTGGCAAGCCTGGGGAAGAACAGCAGGCATTTCTTCCCCTTCCCGAGACAGCCAGGGCTGAGCTCACAGGGGAAGTAGAGGTTGCACATCCCACAGTGTAGCCATGCAACCATGATTACCAGACAAAAGTCTTTCTGGATGATGCTCTGGTAAAGTCCCAGCTCTGTGCAGTACTCTGATCTCTTGGCATGAGTTAACGCACAGGGCAGGTCCACAAAGTGGAAGGACAGGGCAAGTGATTCAACAAGTTGGAGGGGGCGCTGGCTGTGTCCTCGAGGTGGGAAAGAATGGTCCTATTTCTAAAGCTACAGGGTTCAATCACTGCCTGAGCCTTTGCCAAGAGCTTCTTCAGAAAAAGGGCCCCAAATGTCTCTGCTTAGTGCAGCCAACAGGCATCTTTGCAGGACCTGAGCATGGCGGAATGGTGTTGCCCGTAGTTAGAGGACCAGGCAGTGCACTCCACAGGCTGGTGTTACAGCAGTAGGAGTGCTCAATCCTATGAGACCCTCTTCTTTCCCAGGCAGCTGAATCTCCACTTATTTCACCACTTGTTTCTATTCAGGCTGCTCTTCCTTGTTTTGTTGCTCTGGGTTGAGACTCCATGGGCAGAATAGAGAGAAAGGGTCTGTTTGGAAGGATGTTTTGCAGCCAAAATATCTTTCTGGCTGCTTAGCCATTGCACATAAGTGCAGGGACTAGCCCGTTCCATGTTTCTGTCCTTCTTATCTGTCTTTTAGTAGCTTCTTCTGTAAATTCTTGGTGATAGTATTTCATTTCAGCTAGCTTTCAGTTAGTTATTCATGTTGATGGCTCTATAATTTATCTGTAATCATGTTTGGGACCAGGAACAGGTGACTGTGGCTTCCATTTACTCTGTAGCCATCTTTGACTCTCAAAAATATTTAAATTTATTACAGTTGAAGATAAATTGAAAACAAAAATATTGCTCATGGCTAACATTTCAAACAGTTCAGAAGACTTTAACCAGTTAACTGTCATGATATTTTTAATTTAATTACAAAAGGTCCACTGCTTGCATCTATAGATGCTTATGGTGTACAAATGGTTAAACTGAAACAAATGAAAAATTTCCCTACAACCCTCAACTGCTGTGGTTAGAGATAACCACTGATGATAGCATCATAGATCTTTTCAGGAATTTTCTATGCACATATATGTGCACTTTTTTTCCACGTAGCCATTTATTTTAGTTATCTTTTCATTTCAACACACTAAATGTTACTTTAAACTTTTTAATGGCTGTAAAACATTCTGTCATATGGCTATAACATTATTTATTCAGCTACCTATTGGATATTTCTAGAAATTTTTTAAAGCCTGTTATAAACATATATCTTCAATTACCTCTGTATACTTATCCTATACTGATAGGGCATATTTCTACCTCGAACATTCTGGGTCAAAGCATATAACATTTTTATAGTTTTTACTCAATTGCTGTCCCCAAAGTGAACTTTAAATCATTACACACAAAAAATTACCATCTAAACAGGCTGTTCAAACTTTAAAACTCACATTGAACTCCCCGATGTGAGTAATTTGTTTTGTGGGCATAAAATGGAAAATTTCCAAAGATGAACATTTTATTCTACATAAATATTTTACTCCTGGGCAACACTTACCACTGCTCATTTATATTTTAAAGTCAATAACACGTTACTTGTGCATATGTTTCCATGGATTTAAAAAAATTTACTAATTCAAAATAACATATTTAACCAAATATTTGTTCTGGACATTGATTCATGCTATTTCTTCCACTTGGAAAATCCACCTTACTTCACCCCTGCACTCCGAAGTCTTACCTGCCCTTCATGGTTTAATTTAAATGGCACCTCCTCCTTTTAAGTCGTGTTTCCTTCCTCAGAGTTCTCAGCACTCCCAGTTAACTGTTTTATACCTCACATTTTACATAATAAGTCCCTTATAAATGATAGCTATTGTTATCAAAAGGTTCTGAATATTTTCAATTCTATACATGTTCTGGTTCTCCCCAGTTGTGCTTGCCTGCTCCAATGGATTTGTTTAACTTAAACTACATATTCAATATTGCGAGACTACACTTTTTTTCTTTAAAAATAAATGGGCCTGGATTTACTTTATACTAACAACGGAATGAAATCATATTTTTATTCTTAAGTTTCAGATTTTCTAGCACAGCTAAGTGTCTCTTTGGAATTCAGCTGATAAACACATTAACTTTAAAGCTAAGAGGTGAATTTGAAACATACTGGTGAGAGCAGCATGGACGTTATCATATTAAAGGCCTTTGGAGGGGAGCTGGCATAGTTTACATGTCAACGAACCTATTTATAGAGCTGACTCCTTCCTTTAATGTCAACTGTAACGCTACACTTATTTTAGCCTCTGGATCTCGAATATCAGCCTTCCTCGTCGTACAGTTCTCTCTTACTTGCTATCAGAGAGCCCCATGGAGCCTTCTGGAGCACCGAGTCAGATCAGCAAAGATAACTTTTTAGAAGTTCCTAACTTATCCGATTCTCTGTCCGAAGATGAAGAAGATAAAGCTACTCTGAAACCAGCAGGTTTCTCCCCACAGCCCAGAAGACGAGGCTCTGACTCCTCTGATGATTCCTATCTGGCCACCCCGTCTTCCGGGACAAGAAGAGTTTCCTTTGCTGACACCTTCGGGTTCGATCTTGTATCTGTCAAAGAATTTGATTGCTGGGATTTACCAAGTGCTTCCACCAATTTCAGCCTCACCAATGACATTTTCCGCCTGGAAGAGTATGTTTTATCTCCGCTGTTTGACCTGCCTTCTCCCAAAGAGCTTATGCAACAACTTCAAGTGCAGAAAGCGGTTTTGGAGTTAGCAGAGTACCTTCCCGGGGCTGCAAGTATAAAGGGCATTATCCGGGTTTTAAATATTTCTTTTGAGAAGTCAGTCTACGTGAGAATGTCCTTAGATGACTGGAAGACGCATTTTGACATTTTAGCAGAGTATGTGCCAAATTCATGCGATGGAGAAACTGACCAGTTCTCCTTCAAGATTTCACTGGTTCCTCATTATCAAAAAGATGGCAGTAAAGTCGAGTTTTGTATACGTTATGAAACGTCTGTGGGTACATTCTGGTCAAATAATAATGGCACAAATTATGTATTGGTTTATAAAAAGAAAGAACAAGAGCCCAAGCCTGTGAAACTTTTGGAAGAAGTTCCTAACAAACAAAGAAAAGGCTGCTTGAAAGTGAAACCAAGGTGAGACTACATCTTACATTCTTTACTCTTTAAAATCTTAAGGTTTTTATGTCATTATTTCATGGGCTGTTAAGGGATCGCCATTCTGTTTAAAAATATGCTGCTTGTTGTGTGTGAAACAATGCTGTTAGGCCTTAACCAGGTCAATGCTATTTAGATAATAGCATTGTGTTATCTCTCCTGCAAATATTAGAAAAAATAGGGTATAATGTAATAGTTGGAAGGGGGAATGAATGTGTATATTGCTTGTTTAATGAGATATAAATCTCTTCAGTTGAAACTATGAAATACAGATTCTTAACATGTAAAACTATTTTGTCTTTTAAAAAATATTTATTTTCAGCAGTTTTGAAGTGCATTCGTTTTACTTCAAAACATTTCTGATCAATATAAAAGTGTGTTGCAATATACCCAGTGCTCATAAATTTTTAGCCTAAAAAGAAATCCCCATTTTTGTTTGGAGTGATATATTTTTAAGTTAAATCATCAAAGCTATGATTTGCAGAGTGAACTAAGAGCAACACATAAACATATGAGTGACGTATGAACATACATAAAGCATAATATAATCAAATGTAACGTGGAACACAAGAGAGTATAAGTTCATAAAAGTAAATGGAGCAGAATTAAAATAAAAACAACTAGAAATATAAATATTCAGCTTTATAGATTAGAGATTTGGGCTATGACTCCCTCACTAGTAATCTTACTCTCCTATTAATATGAAAAGAAAAGAAAACTGGAATTCACATCTTTATTGTAGAGATGGCTAATTTCCATGACACGGAGTCAGTAGTAAAACACCAAGAAGGAGATAGATCTCTTCTGCTGTGCAGTATCCCAGTGGGAAAGTCCACAGATTATCTATATAATCTCCATACCACATTTGTATTCAGAACAGTAATCATTGGATTCATAGGGGACACCATTCAAGTTTTTATTTATTTATCTATTTATTGTTGAGAGTATTACAAATGTGTCCCTTTTTCCCCATTGACTCCCTCCCACCACCAGGCCAACATTGCTTTGGAGGAAAACCTGAGGAGAACTAAACCACAAAATAGTCTGAAGGGTTGTAAACATTCCTAATGAATTATAAAAATGGAAAATATAATCTCCTTCATCACTACAAATACATTGAATGCACTTCCATAACTAACTAGAAATCACCAACAGCATTCCAGCCACATTTGGAAAAGAAGCACTTGCTTCTGGAGGAGGCGTCTGTGCTGTCTCAGTCCAACAGGAATGTTTACCCTGATTTATAGGCCACTCACAGGGAAGTGTACAAAGGAAATCACGGCAGGTCTTAGGAGAGAATGTCCCGTTACCCAATATTTATTCAGCTTTTCCATGACATAGTTTACATGCAATGGAGTTTCAAATATTCCCAAAACTCACACAAGAGAGCGTTATCAAAACTTTTAATGAAAATTACAAATGGATTTCATTGTGACGAATTTGGTTAAAGAAAAATACCACGCTGTATTAACGCTATTTTATAAAAATGTGCATTTGGCTAAAGTAAAAATGAACTAATGCTTATTTAATAAATAATTGCAATCTCTAAAACATCCTCCTCCCCCTAAAAGGTAACAGAATCTAAATGGACCTTTAAACAAACAAACAAACAAACAAACAAAAACATTCCCACACTTCCTATGTAGCTTACTTTGGAGGTCACTTGCTTCTGAAGATAAACAGGGAAGGGAAATGTATGTGAATTTTAGCTTCATACATTCAAGTAGGTTAATAATATTGTACACTATGTCAGACTTAAAATGAATATAAAGTTGTCCTAATGGAGAGAGTACTATCTCACTTGAATTCCTGTTAATACCAAAGTTAACTTGCTATCAGGGTCTTGAAGATTGCATCTTCTGAGAATGTCAATAGTCCCTTCTAATTAGAATGTTTAGAATGAACTGTGGGAATGTGTTTAGTGAGGTAGGATTTCAGTTAAGTCAATCACCCTAGGTAATATGTTCTTTCTACAAAGATTTTTTTTTTCAGATTAGACATTGCCTATTTTCTTTGATGTAGTGATCTATTTTCTTTGATGCTTGTTAATCTATCTACTTTGGACAAAAAGAAACAGCACGAGGGAGCAGAAAGCAGAGTTTGTGACTGCATGTGACTGAGAACCGCCCAAAGGCAATTCACTGCACCAATAAGACATGCTTCATGAGATAAATGAAAAGTGTCATCAAATATATGGCACTCACATATGTGCTGACGAACTAAGCAGATTTCTAATCTACATCTCAGGGGCTTTATTCCAAAGAAATAATTTGGTATTGATATAATTTGGTATTGATATAATTTGCATTAAATGTACATAAATAAATAGGCTAAAAATAGCATACAGAAGCTGTGTAATAACCTCAAAGTGAAAAATATGGTCTTTAGCATGGTTGGTGTGTCTCAGTGGTTGAGCATTGATCCATAAACCAGGAGCTTATGATTTGATCCTTAGGGCACATGGCTGGATTTCGGGCTCAATTCCTAGGAAGGGATATGCAGGAGGCAGCCCCTCAGTGATTCACTCTCATCTTTGACGTTTCTATCTCTCTTTCTCTCTCTGAAATCAATAAAAGCATATTTTTTAAAAAAAATTATGGATTTCAGAGTCAATCATATTTGTATTTGAGTCCAACCTTTACCACATGCTAGCTATGTGACTTTGAGCAAATTAAACTTTGTTTCCTCATCTGTTAATTAGGAGCAATGATTGTAATATCTCATAGGGGTTTTTGAGATGCATGATGTCATATTTATAAACTTTTGACACAGTGTCTGGCACATAGTAAATTACCAGTAAATATGTACTGCTGTAAAAAGACAAGGTTCAATCTAGCTTTAGGTGGATCTGAAAAAACCCAGAAAGGTTCAACCTGCCCCGAAGGTCCTTTCCTTTTTCCTGTCAGGGTTCCTAGATTTTCAGCTGTCGAGAGCCATTTCCTTGTCTCTTGCAGAATTTCAATAAATAAGCAAAACTATTTAAATTGCAAATTTTCTGAGATGTGTGTCACTTTATATCTAGAACATCTTAATGTTGGAAGAGAACTTAGTGAGAAAGGTTAAAAAGCCATTAATTTTGCCTTTATGAAGGCATATGCAATATTAATCCCAGTAAATGTACACTTTTTTATTAATCCCAGTAAATGTACAAGCTATATGACCATGGACATATTACTCAGTTTCTCAGAGCCTCAGTTTACTCATCTGTAAAAGGGGTAATGATGCCCGATGTTGCGATGATTAAAGTAAAATGAGATTGTACGCTTAAGGTTTTCAGTAGAGTTTGGAGCTTATATAGAATAGTCATCAAAAGCCAACTATAATCTTGTTCAGCCAATTTCCTGAGTCTTGGACCTGCATTATTTCCCAGACGGCACAGCCTTCTTTTTCAGGTTCCAAAACTCATTTCACATGTGTTTGGGTGTCAGGTACTTCGTTGTTAAGCATCAGTATCCAACCAAGAAGCATGGTGGGAAATATGATCCTGTGAAAACAGGAGAGGCCTAGGGTAAAGGCCTCACAGGGGATGAAAGCAGAGAGTTGGAGAGAGAACACACCCAAATCAAGCTCAGGTTCTTTGGGAACACAATGGAAGCCTTGGATAAAAATGAAATAAGAACCGTTTATAGTACATTTGGAGTTTTCTACAATGTGTGATCTGAAACTGATCTTGTGCATTGGGTAAGTGAGTTACTTTTTCAACATCTTTTTTTTCTTCCTTCTACCGGCTGCTCTATGTATGTTCCCAACAATTGGGTACATAGACTAACTTCATCTGGTTTGTGTTTTAGTAAGTGAAACCAATTTATTATTTTAACTAAAGAAACTGCATGGTATAGGTGTTGGATGGTATTTATAACTTGGCCAGGCGAATGCAAATACATTTCTGAAAAATTTTAATGCCGAAGAAGAAAATGAATTCGTGGTCAAATTTTTTTTAATTGAGGAGTAGAACTGGGCACATTCAAGAATGGGAGAGAAATACTTTCTAAATCATGATTTTATGATTACAGAGAGTTTATTTTGCAGGGTGGTAAAATCATTAAAAGGAAGCCAAGGAAAGCATTGGAAAATGGGGCATAAGGTATGGTCATGTGGCATGTTCCGTCAGTGCCACTGAATTGTGAGATTTCCTTAATGTACACGTGCAGTATGATCTGGGATCCTGGAAATAGTCCAAATAGGTGTAAATGGCCCCAGGAGAGCCTTAGGGCTTCGTGTATTCCATAGCTAACTTGTTTTGCGTCCACACTAATTGTGGAGGGACCTCTGTGAAGGCCACATAGAAACATAAAACACAGCTGCACAGGCTCCAACAAGATGCACGCTGCCAGCTGGTTGCAGAAAGGAGCCAAATAGCTCAGTGTTCCCTTGGAGATTGACCAGGGTTTCGTGGTTTGCTGGTTTTTGGAAATTCATACCATTCGGCTTAGACTTTCCCTAGAGTATCTGTGAGCCTTTTCTGAGAGACGAAGAAGAGGGTCTGTTCACACAGGTTTCTCTCAAGCTCAAGCCGAAGAGAAGCACTATGGATGTCATGCCCAACATGGATCCTCTGGGATCTCTGAATTGAACTTCCCACCCAAAGCCCATCTCAACCGTAGAAAATGGAGGCGGGCTTAAGAACTCTGAGCCAATAAAGCTCGACCAAACATAAAACAAAACAAAACAAAAGCCAAGATTGTGAAGTGGGACACAGTTTTATACCATCTTCCGATTCCACTGACTGTGACTCCAAGTCCTTATCCCAATGCCTCAACAGGAATAATGGAAGGGAAGTGGCCTAAATGACACACACTTGAGATTGGCCTAAGTGCCCAGCGTCCTGTCAAACTTAAAAATCCTCTCTACTATGATACCTCACTTTGAAACTACGCCTAAAAATATAATACACACACACAGACACATGGGTGTGTGTGTACATATGTATGTGTGTGTTTATAAGGGTATGTACCTAGACATTTATCACACAAATACAC